TGTTATTTCATACATTTCCTCCCATATTGCAGTTATATAAATATTGCCATAGTTTCCTATTCACAATCCATTTCAAAGAAGTCCATTACGCCACTGACAGATGTGGCTTGCTTTTCGCCTAATCGAGCGGACAAAGTTATATTGAATAAAACCTCACTAAAGATGCACAAAGTGTCTCTGCTTTCGTGACTGGGAATAGATGCCAAATGCCATGGCTGTGCTGAGACAGTAGTGTGACGCATGGCTATAGGGGGTGGCGGTGTATTGAAGTCCTACGTTGGCCATCTTGCTGAGGGCTTGCTGTTATGTGAGCAGTTGGGCATCTTACAAGCTGGTGCGTAGGCAAAGGACAAGCGCGTCGGCCATGTCAGCCTGTTGTCCTCTTTCTCCTGCAATCTGAGGAGTAGGTGGGAGCCATACAATCAAACACGCATGTATGCAACAGTGCACGCAGAATGGAGCAGACGAGGGGTTAGTCAGACCCAGTTTGCTCCTTTTCTAAATGGAACTACATGCAGCGTTTTGGCGGCAGTAGAACAAGTATTTGTATTAAACTGCTGAGAAATGAGGAAAGTGACAAATGAGTCCTCAGGGAGATCTATGTGGTTAATGAGGTGCACATATTTTGAGCTTGTTAATGCGTTCTCTATTGAGTGTCATGTTTTCGGGGTTCACTTTTTTCATTGCCACAATATATCTTAGGTGCACAACATGCCCAGAGATTGGATTAAAAAAAAAAACTGAGGTCAAATCAACATTCAGCTGAGGACAAAAACATCTTTTGGAGACTTTTAAAGCATACCTAACAAAAAATAGCTGGTTACACAGGCACCGAGCCCTGTATCTGTTTGTGGTTTTACACATTTTACCCGTTTGATGTGACACTATGTGCGTGTGCATTTGATAATATATGTCGTTTGGGGTGGGTCTGTTGGATGGTCAAGTTGCATAAACCGTTTTTTTATACGGTGAATTGTTGACAATATTTACATTTTACAAGAGTCTTTCTGCTAAGTTTTTTTTTTTTTTTCAAATAAACATTGTCTAAGCTTATCATGACAATGTGCCTTTTATATGATCTTGTTACTTCTAACAAAAAAGATGAAGGGAAAACTTGAGGGCAAACTGCAACACCATGCCTTGTTTTCTATATATAAACTTTAGCATATCCGATTTCAACAGGGGAATTCTTGAATGAATGATAGACGCTAGTCACTGTAATCTAATATGTTTGTGATGAAGTATTCCCACTGATGCCGAAATTAATCATGCATTCTAATAATACGGAGATGGTTTTGACACCAGCATACAATTTCAAATGGTTGAGTTGGCTCCAATACAGTGAGACTGTTAGGCAGGAGGTGTTAATAGTATCACTCTCCTGCCATTTCCCACAGATTCCAATAATAGCTCCGGCTCATTCTGTAGGCTATTGCATGAGTCACACATGTCCACTCTCTGGTGTAACTAAACAAAACCACCCCTGCATTTAACTTTCTATAGGAGGGTATCAAAAACCCTGTCCAAGGTAATTCACTCGCTTCTTTTACACCGGCCCATTTAGTACAATTCATAATTCAAACACTGATGTCAATTATTCTTTTCATGCACGGAACCATTTCTGCGCTGCCTCCAGCAAAACTAGCACTTGGCGGGCTGAAAAAGAGCTACGCTTTATTTGATTAATTTCGGTATCACTGAGGGTATAAACGTTGCATGCAAGCTTAAAAAAGAATAGTGTCGCATTTCCCAGGGAGGAAGCTAGAGAGTCCCTTTCCCATACAATTTGAACAGCACGTTGCACAGCTGTGTTGCCTGAATTTCCTTGTCATCCCTAAACAATACAACAGCGTCACAGTATCGCCCGACTGACTTTCCAGGTGTGCGGAAGGGGGGTGCAGCAATATTCCCAAGGCAGTTTAGCGATCGGGTTTCCAGTCTGCTTTGAGCCGAGAGGTGACCATAGTAAGGGCACCTCTTATGACTAAGCTTGTGTGCAGAGCTCGGGGCACAAATTACTGCCTGGCCTTGTAACCCTGCCATTAACCCGCCCACCTCAATGCCAGCGTAGTAGTCATGCAGCATGTAGGGCACTGCCTCTTGAGCTTTATCGTCTTGGAGTGCAGTGCATCTCCAGGTGTAGTTCAGCATTTAGAAGTTACTTTGTTCTTATTTTGATTATTATGGTGATTATGTCTTGTGTGATTGTTTCCATCTTGTTTTGTTACACACTTTGAGTTGCCTTGAGTAGGAAAGAACTGTGCTATACAAATAAAATGGCCTTGTCTTGCCTTTTAAAATGTTGAAAGAAACTTAAAGCAGCACATGTAGCGCATCTCAAAATAGATAGGTTCTTGTATGGTCCACAGCATGAAAAGAAGATAAAACTGTTAATAAAGTTATTAAATAACAATACCAAAATGAGAGATCAGGAAAACTATTTTTGAACTGCTGATAGAAGATTAAACATTTTATATGGATGATGTTGAAGTGTTATTCATGTTGATAAAAAAGTGGAAAAGTGTATGAATAAGAACACGACTCATTTTAGAAAACAGAACAGCTTGTTTTGGGTATAAATTGTCAATTTCTCCAATCATCCAAACCTGTGTTATATGGCATGACTAAAGACACTGCAATCTGCCCTATCCTGCTCATTAAGGACTCAAAGCGAGGACAATGTGTCACCACACTCAAGCCGCTTCATACACCTGACAATGGGGTTGGCGTTTCCTGGCCTGTATATTGACAATATCCGTTCACAATAAAGGTTTTGAACAAACCACTAAAATTATACTCCTACCCATAGTCATCAAAGAGTCTTGACATAAATAAGAGCTGAACTTTTTTTAGCGTCTTGACTCTGTTTCGTTCCCTGAGAGCGACATGACTCGGCCTTGGTCCGTGTTGCCTCGACTACAACACTTCTGATAATTGAAATGACAGTCTGAAGGACGGGAGGGTGCGCCGGGACAGGGGCTAAATGAGACTGGGAGAATGTTTGACAACAATGGTCGAAAGAAAGTGTGAAGCTGCCAAGTGATGGCAGTGGAATCCATAACGCGGCACTGAGAGGAGCAACCCTGCTGTGACCCTGGGATCTTTCAAACTGGGTTAAGAGGTCGCAGATACGGCAAGGAGGCTGAGATAACCAGCTCCTCTCCAGCCCTCCTCAGGCCCTGAAGTCTGACTTATGAACATGTCTATAAATACTGAGCGTTATCACAAGTGCCGTTGTACAGCACCCTGCCTGAGAGCCCTGCCCCACATTCAACTCAGGCTACAAAGACACAATGCTGATACAACTGAAGGACTATTCAATACAGTGACAAAACGCTCTTTTCTGACCAACAGCCTGGTCCCTGGAAATTGGTGTTTGTATTTTGTTTTTGGATGTTATCGCAGAGGACTAACGTCTGTGAAAAAATGATGTAGTGTCTTATTTCTTCATGATCTGTCGTGAGTGGAAAGCATGTAGTATAATTACATTCCTTTTAAAATTGTATTGTTTCATTTCCACAGATGTGCGCCTGAACGAAGATTAAGGCGCACATCTGTGGTTCCAAATGAATGAGCAATAAAAGTGGCAAAAATTGAAAAGAATAAATACATAAATTTGATCAAAAAATGTTGCTCAACATTGTGATGAATATGCCAGAACTTCTGGAAACAGTCAGGGTTTATTTTCAGAAGCAGATTGACAAAATCACGATTAAATCAGAAACAATGTCTAAGTGTTAACAATGTTTCTTAATTGGCCTCATGGCGGAAACAGCGTGACAAACTCCTAATGATTATTTAGAAAATTGATTCTAATTACTACTGAATATTAACAACAACACACAGAAACGGGTCATGCACATTTCATAAGGAGTGCAAAAGTTTACCTTGAATCTATATATGAACAGTTTGGAGTTGGTTTGACTTTTGACCTCGACAGGAAGGCCACGCACTCCAGTCATGAAGGCATGCCGTTATGGATGGCTTCAAATCCCAATACAGCAGCTGCATACTGCTCAGTAGCAACCCAGCCTTGGTCTAAATACGTGATCGAAATTCCAGCATATGGAGCGTGCCAACGACCCCTCTCCAAAAATTATCAAAACGAAATGTAGAGTAGATGCTCTTCTTTCTGATCTATTCATTACTTCAAAACTTCAAAACAAGTGCCTTTTGACATTGATACACAGGTTTCCTATATTCTTTCATTTCAATTGAAGAGGACAGATGTTTAACGTTTGAGAGTAAATACTTTTAAAGTCGACTGTGATGACTCCTCTCGACTGTGAAGCATGTGCCTCAAATACCATCTTCATACCAGTACGAACAAATGTAAGAACAGATGATGCTTTGAAGTGCCCACTCATTCTGTGCTGTAACTCATATGTTCCAACTGCACAATGGTAAGTGCGGAACAGTAGGATGGCATTTAAACGGTGATTAAATCCAAATTTGAATTATGTATTGTGCATTGCTTCCTGTGAATGTGGAAAAGGATTCGCGATCATCTATTTTGATTTTAGCTTTAAATATTCAGATGTCTGTACACAAAGTTCTGCTGGTGTTCTTGATGCTAGTCTGGCAGCAAAGGTTTATTCTTAAAAATATATAAATACGTCTCCCACTCACATACAGTATGTGAAATGTTGACTGGTATAAAAGGTAGTATAAAGGTTGTGCCAGTGTTATGCAGTGAATTTCCCAGTGTAAAAGTGCAATGTTAAACAAAATCCCCTATACAGAGAATGAGTGAAAGCCTTCTTTAGATCACAAGGCTGCACTGGATCTCTCTAACCCCTGAATGATTGTGTCAAACATTTTAAATAATACGATTTATCTCAATATTGTTGATGAGCGTGACAGGGCTAGATATTTCATGGTTGTATTTGGTGCATATGGACAACTAGTTAACACAACATTTCTTAAGATAATGACTTTGTCCTTTTACAGGGACTACATGTGTGTTTGCTGCTCATGTACAGGTGTAATGGGAAACTTACTGGTGAGGTTGGTGCGAGCGCTGTAGGAGCCCAGGTAGCGTCCATCCGTGTTGGGGGTGTAGCACTCAAACAGCCCTTGGTCCTTGGCCTGTACTTTGGTGATGTGGAGCATGGCCGAGTCCCGGGTCAGGCGTTCCACATAGATCTCCTTGTTGTTGACCCTTTGTGAGTAAATGGCGTAGGCGTAATTTGGCTGCGCTGTGCTCACAATACGAATCTCCCTCTCTGGCATGGACGGCAGGTACACAGACCACTCAAAGTCCTGCTCCACGCCCTCTTTGTACCCCGACACGTTGCACCAGATGGTCACATGGGAGCCCTCTGTTCGAACCAATGGCCCACTCTGCACCGTCACCACTCTCTGAGCCACGGCAATACCAGCTGCACAGAAAAATAAGACAAACAAAAATACTTAGTTTAGTGAACGTAAGCATGAAGTAATATTGTCCATACTGTACAATCTGTAGCTTTAGCCATAATTAGCTAGAACGCCACAACAAAGATGGGGTCCAACTAAACATTTACTATGATATTTGTGAGCTGTGTGGTGAGACTTAGTGTGGGGGATCCGTCTCAGTGATCTGAGAACCGGTGAACCAGAGCTCATTTAGACAGAATGTTTAAAACATTTTGAAGATCTGAAAGCACCAAACCTGTGCACTGGTACACTACTAGTTACATCAGTCAGTTTACTACGCAGACATGGGGAGAACACGCAAACTCTACACAGAAAGGCCGTGTGTGGAGGAGGAATCGAACCCAGGACCATTTTATGAAGGGTTTTATTACAAGTTTGAAATTTTTTGTAAATTGAGTAAATTTGAACATTTACATCCTGTTATCGGTGCATATGTAACCACAATATAATAAAAATATAAAACCAAAATTAATCCGCCTTTCAGTTAAAACCCAATGACCACTTTTTGAGCGTTTGCTTCACCAGTGGTTAAAAAAAAAAGTTACAAACTGCAATTTAAAAATTCATCATGTGTCTGAGTTAATGCTGTGTGTCTCCTTGGGACACACAGAAGCAGCATGACGTGTGCAGCCAAGTGTGTGCAGCGTGTCTGAGGTGTGGTCATACACGCTCCCACATCACACATGTCAGAACACCACTAAAACCACTGGATACATCCCCCAGTAGCTCCGCTCCGTCTGGCCCGCACACTGTTACATGTTAACCCCTTGTCTGCAGGGCCAAGGCGTGCAGCTGCAGGGGGAGAGGGGCAGGCCATCTGGGATTGAGTGGATAGAGGTCAGAGCGGCAGTACGAAACACAACAGTACGTCACGCAGAAGCGTGGCAGCTTTAAACGACTACAGGTGCTTTGTAGCTGTAAGTACTGCTTTGCTCGACACGGGCCGTGAGCTTTGTCCACAGCTAGAGCACAAACAAGGAACATACACACGCACCTCTCTCACAGTACAAAGCTTGGTTCACATTTTTATTAGTTGAGAAATGACATGAGCGAGAGACTTTCTCATAGCTTTGAAAGTTGTGAATTGCGCTTGTAAACTGTTGAATAATAAGGATGCTCTGAATGTGTTGTAAAGTGAGGAATAAGCTGTGCACTCTTGTTCCACTCCCCCTAAGTTCCCACCGGCGTCCAGGGCATTATGGCCGCAATATGGCTAGTTGCTCGCCATGCAAAGCGGCTGTTCTGTGCTCGTCCAGAATGCACCTATGTCCAGTCTCCTGTCTTTGTCTCTCCTCTCCACTACGAAAGGAAATTCTCTGTGAACGAGCTGAGCCTGAATATCAAAGCCACAGTTTATTAAATCACCAATCATCATTCATCATTCATGTGAACCATTTCACCAACTGCATTTAGTTTGTAAACAATGGTATTTTTCTTGACGAGTCTTTCCTGTTTGGAGCGATTTGAACTGTGGAGAGCCCCAGTGCAAACTGGCTGAAATTACTCAGAGAGTCAGAGCAGAGCAGTGACGGAGGATGTGAAATCCCGTTCCAGTATGTACAGCAAAAACGGCATGTGCCCCTTGTCCCCTCTACAATTTGTAAGGATTAGATAGCTATTCATTAAGAAGGACTGACCAATGGTATGTTGATATTTGAATCATGATCATCTGCTCAGTCTGTGATACTATATTTAGGTAAACATATATACATTAATATATATATATATAAATATATATAAACAAACGTATACTAGGGGCCAAAAAAGATCATCTTTGAGTCGTAAAAAAAAAGTATGAATGTGTACAACCTAGCTTAGATTCTAGCCTGATTGACTCTAGGTAGATGTGCACGTTTGTACATAGCTATTGTGAATTTAGTATAAGTGAAAATAACATTTATTGTGTCCAACTGAAATCTCCTTGACATAGCTGTTAACAGTAGATCTACTTTTCTATTGCCCGTGTAAGTCAAATCGCGTTATTTTATTCCACAACCTTTAAATGTCAAAAGCAACAACTCTGAGATTCACAAAGGGGCTGATGTCTTGACTCTTAAACCACTCATTTCCTCTATTCATAAACATAGCATAGCAGAATTATAGCAACAAGACTAATAGCTTCATTAGCATTTTAATTTAGCCAAAATGAGGCTTTGTAAACTCATTTATAAGCTGCAATGTTTATGCTTGGAGTCCTATTTATATTAAGTGTATAAATATATGTGAGCATATATCAATGGAGAGATGGCGATGGTCCATTGTATGTAGCCTATATATAACTTTACACAAGAGCTTTGAGAACAACATACCATTTACCATGCAGGTCCTGGCATCCTTCTCACAGAGCACGAACAGATCGCCCTAATTCATAAAGAACCAGTGCACTGTTTCCTGTCTGCACCAGCGGCTGGGGACTGCAGCTGTGCATGAGTGTATAAGAGCAGGCACAATGGTAGCATTAATAATTAACCACAACAGCTTTTTAACTTCCTCATCCTCTTGCCCTCATAGTAACTTGTGTCACACTTCCACTGTTATTAATGCATCATTTGAATGCAATGTTAGCATGTGTGTCCACGTGCAAGGATAAACGGGGTTTGTATATTGCATGAGAAAATTCAAGAAACTCAAATAAATGGGTTTTCTTGAAGAGCCACAATTTAATCTTTTCTCTGAAAGGCTGTAGTGGATTTGATTTGGAATCGGACCAATCCTTTTTTCTATTGTTTGATTCTTAGGCACATCCTACTCGCAGCGCTAATAAAATCTATAGCTTGTCCAATTCCTTGCAGCAAAATCCAATCACAGCAGGTGGTATATTATATTCAGAATAAAAGTTTAAATGAAGCCACAGTAGGACATTTTAGAATATAGAATAGCTTTTTCTTGAAAAACTAGACTCATTTATGTCTCAATGTGAGTCGAAAAATCACATCTCAGAGAACTTATAGGAATGTGTAAATAGAGCAGTGAATCAATTACTAAAATTAGTCGATATCAATTGTTACAGCCCTTGACTGTATGAAAGTATGCTCACCTATGTTATGATGCTGTTATTTTTGCACTCTTTGCACTGCACTGATACTGGTTTAGTCCTGGATTGATCTAAATTTAGATCTTCTTTTGTAAATATCTAACATTTTGTGTTTCCAGACAGTATGCATACACAACATAAAGAAGAACAAAATGTGTACTTTATTATTATCTTACAGTCAAGAAGGAAATACATGTTTAATGCTTATAGGTTGTGTTGGGATGTTATTTCAGTTAGAGAGCAGGTGCCAATTATGGGCAAGCGCCACTCTTGAAATAAATGTTGAAAAGAAAATGTGCATTTGGTTTCCCAGATCATTATTTGATAGTGATTAGATACACAAACCCGCCATATTATTCTCATGTCTGAAAGTCCCTTCTACTGGCCAACATAATGCCAACATATGCATATGTTTTCAATGTTGTCACCTGTTCTAGACACCTTTATTAGAAAATTAAAAAAGTGGTATTTTGTGACAGTTTGTTTAATGATGATTAGTCCAGGAATTACCAAAAAATTGGCTCAAAACAACAACTAGTAATAAGATTTGTAATGACCGATACAAGTTGCCAGGAGAGATGTTTCAACTGCCCTCCACTACAATGTGAAGCTATAGGCTCTGGTGTGCTGGTCAGTGGTCACATTAACACAATTGATTGGCTGTACTTGAGACAACCAACCAAGAGTCCATTGGTCCGTCTGAACAATTGTATTCTAAAGTTGTGTCAAGAGCTACGGAAAAATATGGTTGAACACCCTTAGATAAGAGAAGTACTGCAATATTACAAGACAGATCCATTACTAGCGGAAGTGACTGGCACCATGATTCTGACTTACTTGATAAGGCATAACGGTGAGTTTACAGGTTGATTGACAGCCAATACAGTGTCTACTCCACATGACTCAGCCGCCTCTTCCAACATTTCCTCTTTTTTACTGTGATGTCAGAACTCTTAATGCAGTGGTGCCCGGTCTGCCCACATCCTGCTCAGATCAGCTCTGAGCTCGGCACTGCTGCATCACTGCTTCTCATGTTGCATCCACTCTGAGTCCAAGAAACGCATTACTCATCCATCCAAGAGAAGAGAAAACACACATAGCAAGTGTTGGAAACTCTCCTATCTCCACTGCACCTGTCAGAAGGCCTGTAAAAAACACACTTTCCTTTCCTTTCCTAAGGATTTTTTACTCGCCAATCACCAGCTCAATTCCTTGGCTGTCTCTCGCTCTCCTCTTTGGGGGCCGTCAGTGTCTTTTCAGGCAGGATTTAAGCGGCTCTATGCAACTTCAAAGTGCCCATCTCTCACTGCGGCTGTTTATAAGTCTCACAATGACATTGCAAACCCTGCAGACCTTCCAACTGATCGCTAAATTCCTCTTTTTTGTATTTATTTTTTATATAATCCTACGCTCCTCACCTCTGGCTAGTCAGAACTGGATCAGCAAGTCTCTGCTTGTCAAATATTTCATTATTAATGCCCATCTTATTCATACTAGAGATACATGTTTAATTTCCGTCTTCCATTTCTCGTATTTTTGCGACCCCGTCCAGGCGATCACGGTTTAGATTGGGGAAAAGACAAGACTTTGTGCTTTTCAGATGTGCTGCAGTTGTCAAAACGGGAACAGCCAGTCCTTAAATAAGCAAAACAATGGAATTTTTTGTTAGTTCCAAAAAAGCTCTCATTTATATATTTTTTAATTGAGTGGAATAGAAAAAAGTTGGCCATTGTTAAATTAAGTACCTGAGACAAATATCACTGAGTTAACACATAGTGCCAAGATAAATTGACCAATTGATTTTTGGGGGGATCTTCATCCTGGGGAATATTTACTAAAATGTATGTTCAAGTTTCTCTCTCTCTCAAAAAAGGTTTGGTTCCATGACTAGTTTTTCATTTTCACTAGTTTTGTCTTCTTCTATATCAG